GGGAGCGCCGCTGCGCTTCCCAAGCGGCGCACTATCCAGTGCGCCACTGGGCCGGCCCAAACCATTGTTAATATAAACGTTCAGGATGGGTGTCTAAATGAAAAAATTTATGGACTTGTGGATAGGAAGTTCAAGATGTTCCCATCAGATGGTTTGTATTTCTTTTGTGAAAGACATCTGCGAGGAAGAGAGAACAGGGGCGTGTAGAGGACTGCGAAGAAGGACGATTTGAAAAGCTGATGTAGAGAATGGAAGAGAAACCTGACTGGAAACATGGTGCAAGTGTCGAGATTTAAATTTATAAATGGCAAACAGTGCATTTGTACAGTTTTCTTCAATGGATATCTATAGTTTCAAAGTAACTCCATTATTTACTACCAATTTTCAAATGTGAATGACAGATATTTTAAAAGAGACTTTTGGTCCTAATTACAGGGAATATTCATAAACAATTTTTAGAAATGAAATAGTCTTAACTCTTCAGTTACTTTATTGTTTTTAAAACACTTGCTGCATATTTTAATAAAATGTATTCAATAGAACTATCACCTGATATGACTGCAAAAGGACTGGATTTGGCCAGATATATCCTACTCCAATTTAATCTAAGAAAATGAGAAAATTAACTGCAAGTTATTTATGTATTTTAATTTACCATTCTTTCTTTCTTTCTTTATTTATTTATTTTTATTGGTAACTGGCCAGTTTAGGGATCTGAACCCATGACCTTGGTGTTATAAGACTGTGCTCTAACCAATGCAATTTAGTTATAAGCACATAATTAGAATTACCACTTTCATATGCATTAAGTTTTGTTTGGTGGAATATTTTATAAGCATCTGTTGATACAAAGCACTGGGGCTTCTTTAACGTCGTTAACTAAGTTAGTTTAAATTCAATAGCTTCCTTGTTTACTTAATTTTGTTTTATTCTATTTTCTTTTCGAGATATTTCAGCGTAGTACAGTCAATATTTTGCCCTTGTCCTTCAGGATATATTTTAAACAAGGGCAAGGCTTAACACCTTTGTAGCAGGGCTGTTTAAACAGCCTATTCCAGGGCTTGCTGGTTAGCTCAGTTGGTTAGAGCATGATGCTCTAACACCAAGGTCTAAGGGCTCAACTCCTGTACCAGCCAGTTGCCAAAAAAACAAAAACAAAACAACAAAAAAATGCACAGAGCCTTCCTATCATTTTGTGAAATTCATCTCACAGGTAGGTACCTCTGCCAGCTTATTCAACTCCTGTACCAGCCAGTTGCCAAAAAAACAAAAACAAAACAACAAAAAAAGGCACAGAGCCTTCCTATCATTTTGTGAAATTCATCTCACAGGTAGGTACCTCTGCCAGCTTACAATGTCTGTCCTGTTCCTGGCTCACACTACCTACTCCTTGCACTCATCTGTCCCCTCTGTAAAGTCAAAGACTGTCCTGTGTACTGTTGAATCCCCAGGGTCTAAAACAGGAACAGGTACATTGTAGATTTCAACCTATTTTTTGTTTTTTTTTGGCAGCTGGCCGGTATGGGGATCCTAACCCTTAACCTTAGTGTTATAAGGTGGCTGCTCTAACCAACTGAGCTAACCGGCTAGCACCCAACCTGTTTCTGAATAAATAAATGACAGTAGCACAAACACTGTTGTATGTATCTACCTTCTACTAGGAAGGGGGAGCTAATGAGGTCAGAAATAATTAAGGGGCAGGAGAAGAAGGCTTGGATAATATTATATGCATACACTTAGCCCTCAGTTTGAAAAGGAATAGTTCTCGCACATTTTGCAGAAAAAGAAAGAACTTAGGGCCAGCTGGCCAAGGCTCAGGAACTTTCCCTGGAATGAGAGTTATAGGGTCCCCATGTTGAAGCAGAGATCATCTGATCACACTTTCATTTTATATATGGGGAAACTGAGACACACAGATAATAAAGTGCTTTCTACCCCCCATCCCCCCAGCCCTGCCCTGCAATCCTTCAGTCCCTTGGACAGGGAACACAGGCTTTATGGTCAGATTACACAGAAAGGAGTCAGACAAAGTAGAATTCCTTGCTGTTTATTGGCCATACCCTCTGCACCTCCACCTACTATATTGAGCAACCCAATACCCCTCTGAAAGAGTCCCAGAGAAGGTGGGATGAGGAAGCACAGCCCAATGCTCAGCAGCCACACTGCTTACCAGACAGTAGTTGGGCCACACATCAGTCCTATCTTCACCCCCAACCTCTCTGGTCCCTAACAAGAGGACAGACTACTTGCCTTTCCCTAAATCTTCCTCCACTCTACCGTTGTCTCAGCAAGCAAACTAGAGGCCAAGGGCTAGGGTTTGGGGAGGTTTCTGGGCAGGAGTTTATCCCAGCATCCAGCCTATTACCGTCAGGAAAAAGATGGCTATCCAGGATCCTGCAGGAAAGAAAGAAATGATTATGAAACAGATTAGGTGGCTTTGAGAGCCTGGGAAACTTTTTAGGTTTAGATACTCCACTTTGAGGGCCGGCTCGTGGCTCAATTGGGAAAGTGCGGTGCTGATAACACCAAGGCCACGGGTTCGGATCCCTATATAGGGATGGCCGGTTAGCTCACTTGGGAGAGTGTGGTGCTGACAACACCAAATCAAGGGTTAAGATCCCCTTATTGGTCATCTTAAAAAAAAAAAAGAAGAAGATACTCCACTTTGAAGGATTATTTAGTAATCCATTCATTTATTCTTTCTACAAAGCTTTCTTGGGGCCGACTGTGTTTCAGTTAGATTAGGGGTGGGGAAGATGGGGATAACAGAGATGCAAGGCACTCTATCGTTCACTAACCCCCCCATGCTTGTTATCTGCCTGACCCTGTATCTTGAATTTTCAGTCATTTCTAGATAGTCTCAGGTTCTGGTGAGGGATAAACCAAAAGCCCCATAATGACAATGCTGCCGTATACTGCTGAAGAAGCTGAGACTCAGAGAAGTTAACTGACTTCTCCCATGTTACACTGAGTTGGGCAGAAACAGGATCCAAGACCTGCACCTGCCAGGATCCCAACCCTGCTGTGTCCCCAACCCTGGTGCAACTATCAGAACTTCATCACAGCAATCCTTTTGTACCAACCTTCCAAGCTCCTGCTGCTGGAGGCATTGGACTCTGAAACCACATAGAAAGAAAGATTGATCTTAAGGCACTATCTTGACAGGACAAGGCCAGTACTCTCCCATCATTTCATCAAGATTGGGCAAAGGGGCTGGCCCCTTTTTGAAGCTGGGACTCAGAATGGGGTGAACATGGACCTTCTGCCTCTAATAAGAATGGACTTACTAAGAAGATAGGCTTTCCCAAGAGGATGAGAGCTTTGGAGGACTGTTATGGAATAGAAAGAGGGGAGCGACTGTTCAATTATCAGCAAGAAAGATTTACCAAAAAAGGCTGGCGCGAGGGACAGTCTGGGAGAAGAGCGATCTGGTGTGACAGGAAAAGTAGGAATGCGAGGAGAGAGGCTGAGGCAGGCGGCTCACACTCGAAGTTTAATGAGTGAGAACAGAACCCGTAAGGGGAGGAGACCTCTCTAGGACAGAGGGAGGGCCGAGGCGGATATGGGCTCGGAGAGGAGACTTGAATTTAGGGAGGAGTTTGAGGGCATGAAGGTCGAGGGGGCTCAGCGAAGGGTCGGCGTCTCAGAGCAGGTCAGTGGGAGGCCCTGGAAGAGGCTTCAGGGAGGGCCCACAAATGACGCAGTTACCGCTTATTCGGATGGGCCCGAACACCATCCAGCCACCGCCGCGCTCCAGACCCTCCCGCGCTCGGATTTCCCAGGCCCTATTCCTCCCAGGTGGGTTCTTCCGACTACAGGTCTGTGGGCGACACAAGCAGAAAGGTACCAACGCCAGCCAGCTTGAGACTTTTTACTGGACTCTAGATAGCCCCGCCTCCTGCCACGCCCCCAGGTGAGTTCACCAATCCACAAGGGTCTTCAAACATTCCCCCCCCATTAGGTATTTCTGAAAGCCCCGCCCCTGGCAGGATAGGCCAATCTCCAGCACCACGGTCCTCCAGGCCCTGCCTTAGTCCCGCCCTCAAATGATGGCATTGCTAGAAGTCCCAGCCGCCACCCCGGAGCTGCCTGGCGGGCGAGGCTGCCGCGGCTGCTCAAGACCCCCCAGGGTTGCCCGCTCACCGGTTGGCACGGGCGTCCCGCTTGCTTGTCACACAGGGTCACTCGGCCGTGCAGGTAGAGAGTATCGCTGGTCAAGAAGCGGAACAGGGTGAAGGCCAGTGACACCTCCAGAGAGACCCCGTTGGCCCGCAGGCCCTGGAGCAGCCGGTTGCTGACTGGGCAGCTGCGGGGAGAAGCAGTGTCACGGACTGGTTAGGAGCACCGGCTTGGGGCCGGCGCTGCGGAGGGACACGCTGATTTCCGCCATTTTGCTCGTTCTGTATAGGTGTAGATGCTGGGTCTTGTGCTGGGAACTTTACATGGATTGCTTCATTCCATCCTCACACCAATCCTATAAGGAAGACAGTACTTTTGCCCTCCTTTCTTTTTTAAAGATGAGGAAACTCAAGCTCAGAGAAGTTATGGAGGTTGCCGAAGATTCTGCAGGTAGCAGCCTGGCTCCAGCGCCCGCCCATACACTTGATCACTAGGTTCTATTTCCTTCCGACAAAGGAGGAATTACATGCTAGGACAGATTTGGCAGTGCTATGATTCAGAACCTGATCTCTGGAGCATGAATAGACCAATGGCATGGCCTTGGTCAAGTCACCTAAACTCTCTGGGCCCACTCTAGTTCTCTCATCTGTGAAATCAGGGAAATAATACTTCTAGGGTTGTTTTGAAGAATAAATAAGAGAATGAATGATTCACTGTGTTCTGTGAAGACTTGTTAATATTAATAAAACATGACCTAGGAGTCAAGAGAACCAACTGCTTCCCTAGACTGTTGCGAGTAAGGACTTGGCCTTACTATCTCTGTGTCCCCAACACTTAGCAATGTCTGGCACTTACCAATTGTTTGAACTGAGCCTCAGTTTCTCCATCTATGAAATGGGAACGAAAATATAACTATCTTAGGGCCGGCCCGTGGCTCACTTGGGAGAGTGTGGTGCTGATAACACCAAGGCCATGGGTTCGGATCCCTGTATATGGATGGCCAGTTAGCTCACTTAGGACAGCGTGGTGCTGACAACACCAAGTCAAGGGTTAAGATCCCCTTACCAGTCATCTTTAAAAAAAAAAAAAGAAAGAAAGAAAATATAACTATCTTATAGAGTGTGTTGTGATGCTTAAATGAGTTAATATATGTGAAGTGATTTAATCTGTGCCTTGCATGAAGTAAGTGCTATGTCGGTATTAGCTATTAAATGTAATGTAATATATAACATAGTATACATCACTCTGAAATGTTAGGGGTTTTTTTGCTTGTTTTTAGTTTTAATTACTGCCTCAGTAATTGTTTGAGGAAAGAATAAGTGAATGTCATTAATTGGCTGTGAGATCTTGGGCAGGCTTTAATCTCCCTGAGTCTTAATTTACTCATCTGCAAAACGGGAACGATAATGCATTCACTCAATAACATTCAACCAGCACTTCCTTTCTCCCAGTGTTTGCGTGCCAGGGATACAAAGAAGAGAGATCTGTGGTCATGGGTACAAAAGCACCCAGCACATGCCACAATCCAAGAGCCAGTCTAGCACTGGCAGGAAGTTACCAGGGCCCGACAGACCCTTACCTATTGTTCACAAAGTGGTGGGTGGCCTTAACAGAACCTGTCTTGGAGATGTTGGTGCTGGCAAAGACCTCATTGGCCACCAGAGCAAATCGGTCTGGATCACTGCTTGTGGCCCTGAGAACCACGTAGAGGGGCATGCCAAGGGGAACCGTTCTGTCCTCAAGTGGAGTTGAGAGCTGAGGGTCCGTGAAGATGCCCAGATTGACGATAATGTCCCCAGCGCCCGGAATATGTATGGTTCTATGTCTGGAGAGGGACAGGAGTGAGACCGCATCACAAAACCATAGAGGGAAGGCTACTCACTCACATTCTGCCTCACACCCAAGGTCACTGAGCACTGGTAGCCATAGAGAATAAAGGGAGGGGAGGAGCAAACCTGCTAACCTTCCTCCTGGACCAACTAAAAATTGAGGCCCCACCTCTTGGATCCCCAGATCTAGGACCCTTGAAGCTATTCTACCCCATGGTAATTTACATAAGCAACCCATAATGCATTGCTTCATAGAAGCATCTTTTTTTCTTCCACTAATACTTTGAGTCTCCATCTAAGAGGTGTTTGGTGGTGGGTATAGGGGACCTACATCCTGAAGGCGTTGACTCTTTTGCCTGAATTAGAGGTAGCAATGAGAACTGAAGAGCTGGGCTCCCAGAGCCCAGCTAGAGAGGCAGCTGACAGGGCAGAACTCACGGGAAGGAGACCACCGGGTAGGGCTGGGTCTGGCTGATGTTCACCACCAGGGGGTACGTGCAGCTGAAGCTGAGCATTGTGGAGTTGATACTGGTGAAGTTGGGGGGAACCTGCAAAAGCTGCACCTCCAGAGAGTACAGGGCGTGGGTGCTGTTGGTCTAAAAAAGACAAGGAGGCAGCTATTACGTTCAGATATCCAGGGGAAACATCTTCTCCTGTCCTTATTGGCTGCAAGTCGTTTATTTAAATAAAAGTGATGACTAAAGTTTACTGGGCCTGGGCTGTGTGCCAGGCACTGTGGCTTGATCACAACTCTTTGAGTATTCTGTAATTAGTCCCATTTTACAGAAGAGCAAACTGAGGCTTAGAAAGGTTAAAGTCTAGGGCCGACCCGTGGCTCACTCGGGAGAGTGTGGTGCTGATAACACCAAGGCCATGGGTGCGGAATATACATAGGGATGGCCGGTTAGCTCACTGGCTGAGCGTGGTGCTGACAACACCAAGCCAAGGGTTAAGATCCCCTTACTGGTCGTCTTTTTTTTTAAAAATTTTTATTTTGTCGTTATACAATGTGGTTGATTATTATGGCCCATCACCGAAACCTCCCTCCCTCCTCCCTCTCCACCCTCCCACCCAACAATGTCCTTTCCGTTTGCTTGTTGTAACAATAAAAAAAAAAAAAAAGGTTAAAGTCTTTTCCAAAGCAAGTACCAGAGCCAAAATTCAACATCTCTTTGATTCCAAGGCCCATGTTCTTAACCTCTGTTCTTAACCTCTGCCAGTGGCTCTCAAATTTCAGTGTGCATTTTAGAATCCCTTGAAATAAATAAAAGAATTACTGGGGTGCTTGTTAAAAATGCCAAGTCCTGGTCCCTATCCCAAGATTTGGATATCTTTTTGGTATTTTATTGTTTACATAGGCTTTTTAAAATGTTTGTTTGTTTGTTTAGGGTTTCTTTTGCAGCTGCCTGCTATGCGGATCCAAACCCTTGACCTTGGTGTTATCAACACCACACTCTAATCACCTGAGCTAACTACATAGGCTTTTTTAAAAAAGAATCAAAATGATCTGTTTTGTTGCTATAAATAAAGCAGTTTATTAAAAAGAACACTGATAGTGAGTTCTAGGGGGATAGCCATGGGCTTAGCTGTTCCATGTTGAAACTGCCAACTCTTTTCCATAACCTAAGCAAGAGACCCCATGAATCCCTGGGTGGCAGAACTAGAGATAATGGCAGACAACTGGGAGCAACTAAACCATCTCTTCAGGACAAACTCTGGTTTTCAAACTGAGCTCCCCAGGGAGCCCCAGACCTCCTTGAAGGGGTGTGAAAGCCGGCCAATACGTTGGGGGGAAGCTGACCCAGCAGGACACTCTTCCTCCTTCCCCCATTCAGTCAGAGCTGCTCTGCTTTAATTTTTTAATTTTTTTGTGGCTGGCCAGTATGGGGATCCATGCTTTTAGATATTTCTTTTTATATTCGGCTTTTATGTAAGATATCTTCCAAAGAAAGCAGGTGGCAGAATCGGTGAGCAATTAGGAGCACAAACCAGCTCTGTTAATTGGGAAATAGCTGTGTGACTTGGGAAAATCCCTCACCCTCTCTGAGCCTTAGATTACTCATCTGTAAAATGGGATCGCTCAATTATTGTGAAGATTTAATGAGACGATGCAGCAGATGACACATAGTAAGAAATTAATAAATATTGCTTGTGGTTGTGGTTGTTATTATTTTAAAGGATTCTGTAGCTGACAACAGTTTTGGAAACCAACATCCCAATTCATCAAACATGGCATCAGATATAAGGGCATTCCCAGTCTGAAGGGGGACAACAAGGTCTTATCCCTCAAAAAGATTAGTCTGATGGCTAAGACTTGACTTCATTCCAGGGAATTCCTCAGTCAGAGGGAAATAAAATCATGACTCGTGTCCAATCACTCCTTTCCCAGTTCCCACCGCTCAACATCTTCCCCCACTTCCTATCAGGTGACCCCTTCGAGGGAGCTTACAGAGAGGTGGAGTCCACAAGTACCCTCCTTCTTCTCCATCATGAAAACGTGGACATGGCGACCCTGTTCTATTTTGCTGATGCTGGAGCATCCTGAGAATGTACCTTCCGTCAGGACCCAGTGGCGAGTCTCCAGGAAGCAGCTGTTCAGGACCACCTCGATGTTCTGTGGCCAGCAGTGCAGGGTCACCAATGCCCTGGACAGCTCTGCGGGAGGACAAGAGCCAGTGCAGGGACCTCCTGAGGCTCCTGGGATGATGACCTGGGAGGGGGTACTAGTTCTGATCTGGGTGGAGGGGCACTGTAGGGACATTAGCCCAATCCACAAAGACCCCCTTAAACAAGGACACTCCCTCACAAAAGGTGAGTCCCCACAGCCATGTTTTCCCTGTGGGACCCTGATCCCTGGCCTTAGCTGATCCACTCAGAATCTCTTTCCCAGCGATTAGGAGCTGGGCCTCAAAGGAGGCAATATAAACTTGAGAGGTGAGGTGGCCATCTTCTGCCATGTTGGCTGAGAGGCAGAAAAAGTGGGCATGTGGAGCAAGGGACAGAGCATGTGGTGGTGTCAGAGGGGATACAGCAGAAGCAGTTCTAAGAGAGAAGTTTATAACAATAAATGCCTACGTCAAAAAAGAAAAAGACTTCAAATAAGCAACTTAACATTACACCTCAAGGAGCTGGAAAAACAAGAACAAACCAAACCCAAATCATTAGAAGGAGAGAAATAACAAAGATTGGAGCAGAAATGAATGAATTAGAGATTAAAAAAACACAAAAGATCAAGGAAACAAAGAGTTGGTTTTTCGAAAGGATAAAATCGATAAATCTTTAGCTAGGCTAATGAAGAAAAAAAGACAGAAGAGTCAAATAAATAAAATCAGAAATGAAAAAGGAGACATTACAACTGATACCACAGAAGTACAAAGGATCATAAGAGACTATTACAAACAACTATATGTGAACAAACTGGAAAACGTAGAAGAAATGGATAAATTCCTGGACACATACAACCTACCGAGGTTGAATCACGAAGAACTAGAAAACCTAAACCAACCAATAACAAGTAATGAGATTGAAGCAGTAATAAAAAGCCTCTCAGCAAAGAAAATCCCAGGACCAGATAGCTTCACTGTCAAATTCTAACTAATACCAATGCTTCTCTAACTCTTCCAAAAAATTGAAGAGGAGGGAATACTTCCAAACTCATTCTATGAGGCCAACATTAACCTCACACTAAAACCAGAAAAAAGGCCGGCCCGTGGCTCACTCGGTAGAGTGCGGTGCTGATAACACCAAGGCCACGGGTTCGGATCCTATATAGGGATGGCCGGTTTGCTCACTGGCTGAGCATGGTGCTGACAACACCAAGCCAAGGGTTGAGATCCCCTTACCGGTCATCTTTTAAAAATAAAAAAAATTAAATAAATAAATAAATAAAACCAGAAAAAGACACACCAAAAAAAGAAAACTTCAAACCAATATCCCTAATGAAAACAGATGAGAAGATCCTTGATAAAATACTAGTAAACAGAATCCAACAACATATTGAAAAGATTATTCACCGTGATCAAGTGGGATTCATCCCAGGGATGCAAGGATGGTTCAACATATGCAAATCAATAAATGTGATACCTCACATCAACAAAATAAAGGAAAAAAACATATATGATCATTTCAATAGATGCAAAAAAAGCATTTGATAAAATCTAACACTCCTTCATGATAAAAACACTCAACAAATTAGGTATAGAAGGAATGGACCTCAACACAATAAAGGCCTGTACGACAAATTCACAACTAACATCATACTGTATGGACAAAAACTGGAGGCTTTTCTTTCTTTTTTTTTTAAAAAGATGACCGGTATGGGGATCTTAACCCTTGGCTTGGTGTTGTCAGCACCACGCTCAGCCAGTGAGTGAACCGGCCATCCCTATATAGGATCCAAACCCATGGCCTTGGTGTTATCAGGACCACACTCTCCCGAGTGAGCCATGGGCCGGCCCCCAAAATTGGAAGCTTTTCTTCTAAGATCTGGGACAAGACCAAGATACCCACTTTCCCCACTCTTATTCAACATAGTACTGGAAGTTCTAGCCAGTGCAATAGGACAAAAAAAGCAATAAAGGGCATGCAAATTGGAAAGAAGGAAGTCACCCTATACCTATTTGCAGTTGATATGATCATATACGTAGAAAACACTAAAGACTACACCAAAAATTGCTAGAACTAATAAATGAATTCAGTATAGTGGTAGGATACAAAATCAACACACGAAGATCAATAGCCTTCTGATATGCCAATAATGAAATAGCTGAAGAAGAAATAAAGTAATCCCATTCACAATAGCTACCAAAAAAATGAAATACCTAGGAGGAAATTTGACAAAGGAGGTGAAAGACCTCTACAATGAAAACTATAAAACATTGGTGAAAAAAATTGAAGAGGATACAAATAAATGGAAAAATAATAATTCTTCCAACCCAAGAACCCATGTTCTTGGGTTGGAAGAGTTAACATCATCAAAATGTCTATATTACCCAAAGCAATCTGCACATTCAGTGCAATCCCTATCAAAATACCAATGACATTCTTTATAGAAATAGAAAGAAATGATTAAAATTTATGTGGAACCACAAAAGATCCATGTAGGTAAAGTGATCTTGAGCAAAAAGAACAAAGTTGGAGGCATCACACTTCCTGACTTCAAAATATACTATAAAGCTATAGTAACCAAAACAGCATGGTACTGACATAAAAATGAACAAATAGGCCAGTAGAACAGAACAGAGAGCCCAGAAATAAACCCATGAACTTACAACCAACTGATTTTTGACAAAGCCACCAAGAACATACAGTGGGGAAAGGACAGTCTCTTCAATAAATGGTGCTGAGAAAACTGGATATCCACATGCAGAAGATTGAAAATAGACCCCTGTCCCTTACCATACACAAAAATCAACTCAAAATGGACTAAAGACCTAATCTAAATTTAAGACCCCAAACTATGAAACTACTGGAAGAAAATATAGGGGGAACACTACACAAAAAGGGAGCGGGCAGTGCTTTTTTGAGCAACACTAAAGGCACAGACAACTAAAGCAAAAATACACGAATGGGACTACATCAAACTGAAAAGCTTCTGCATAGCAAAGGACACTATCAACAAAGTGAAGAGACCACAAATTAAAACCACAGTGAGATATCATCCTACCCCTGTCAAAATGGTTATTATCTACAAGACAGAAAATAACAAATGCTGGCCAAGATGTGGAGAAGAGGGAACTCTCCTACATCGCAGCTGGGAATGTAAATTGGTACAGCCATTGTGGAAAACAGTATATAGGTTCCTCAGAGAACTAAAATAGACCTACCTTATGACCATCTGTCCCATTCTTGGGTATATACCCAAAGGAAACGAAATCGATATATCAAAAAGATATTTCACCTGCACACCCATGTTCATCGCAGCACTATTCACAGTAGCCAAGAGATGGAAATAATCTAAATGCCCATTAGTGGAGGAATGGATAAAAAAATCCTATGGTATATATACACAATGGAATACTTTTCAGTTACAAGAAGAAGTGATATCCTATCATTTGCAGCAACATGGATGAAACTGGAAACTATCATGTTAAGTGAAGTAAGTCAGGCACAGAAAGACAAATACTGCATGATCTCACTCATATGTGGAATCTAAGGGGGGAAAAAGTGGTTCTCATAGAAGTAGAGAGTAGAATAATGGTTACCAGAGGCCAGGAGGAGAGGGGTGTGGGGAGGAGAAGTGGTGGACTAACGGGTGCGAAACTGTGCTATGTATGCTAAGTGAATCATTGTGCAGTATATGCACGTATTGAAACAACTCACTGTACCCCACACACAGGTACAAGTAAATGTTAAAATAAAAATCAAAAAATAGAAAAAGTGAAAGTAAAAAGCAAAATACAATGGAGATACTAGTGTTAAACATTTCTGGATTTATTTTATTACATTGAATTTAAAGATTTTTTTGTTTAATCTCACTGTTTCTTTTTTAATCACCTTTCTGATGACATCATTGTTTCTATTTTGGTCAGAGGAATGGTCTGCAATTTAAGAGCAGGTGCTTTGTACCGATCAATATGTGTTGAGGGGGGGAGCTTCAGTCACATAATTTTCTGCTGTTACAGTTGATAGTACGGTAGTCCCTCTGTATCCATGAGGAATTGATTTCAGGATCTCATGCAGATACCAAAATCCACAGATACTTAAGTCCCTGATATAAAATGGTTCATTATTTCGATATAACCTATGCACATCCTCCCATATACTTTGAATCATCTCTAGATGACTGATAATATCTAATACAATGTAAATGCTATGTAAATAGTTGTTTTACTGTATAGTTTAGGGTATATAATAATGACAAGAAGAAAAAGGCCGGCCCGGTGGTGCACTGGAGAGTGCGCCGCTTGGGAGTGCAGCGGCGCTCCCGCCGAGCCCTGGGGACTAGTCCTAGGGGTTCATAAATGGTCCGTTCTACCTCATATGGCCAGCCACCTGCCTGTCCACTGAAATCACCTCTACCCAGAAAGACTCATTAGATGCCAATGTCTTACCAAACCTCACTGGCCCTCCCTTTGAACACAGTGTTGCTCTGGGCCTTCTCAAAGTTATAATGTCCACTCTGACCCCCGCCTCCTCTTTGGTTTATTCACATGAGGTTGTCAGACTTACCTGAATGGGCGTAGTAGCTCTCATTGCACATACAAACTCCCTGACTGACTGGATACTCATCCAAAGCGCAGGCTCCAGCTCCGGGATCACTGCTCTGGGTGTGTTTAGGGGAAGCTGGACTGTCCCCAGTCATAGCAGAGGATTTTGTTGTTCCTGGGAAGCTGGGGTTAAAGGCTGTGGAATGAGCAGCTGTTGTTTCAGGTGACTGGCGCGTAGCGGTGCCAACACTGGCAGCTGGTTCTGCTGGATGGGAAGGTGCCTGTGGGGCTGTGTTATGATGTGTTGCCGACAGCTTGCTCATTGTGGGGGCTGTTGTTGGGGTTGGGGATGCAGCTGTGATTTCTCCTTCCTGACTCCCAGGCATGGTTGTTCCAAGAACAGTTGTCCCTAGAGTGGTCATAGTTGGCGAAGTGATGTGGGTAACTGCACCGGTTGTCGTAGGTAAAGATTCTTTCACATCAGTCATTTTCTTCGATGTTGTCAGGGATGTAATTATAGCTGACTTCTCAGAGACAATGGCTGTCATGGACCCAGCTGATATAAGGTCATCACCTGGTGCATTTAATGCTGTTGGAGCTGTGATTGTGGCTGACTTCTCAGAGTCAGTGGACACTGATGACTCCATTCCATTGACTATGGTGTTTGATGCTGATGTGTCTGTAATTAAAGTTATCTGATTCTGTTTTGGGGTCTCAGCTGAAGTGGCCACGCTGGATAAGGCTATGGTTCTGGATGTCCCTCCCTGATCCTTCCACGTAGAAGCCATGATAGTATTTGACAGTGTTGTACCCCTGAAGGTTGTGATGATAGTTGTGTTTAAGTTCTCTTCTTGAGTCCTATGTTTTGGGGTTGTCTGCTCAGTGGACCCAGTAGAACTGCTTGTTAGCGGTAAAGTTGGAGGAGTAGCTGATGTTGTATGCTCCTGGGATTCAGACGTTGATTTCCTTCTGGTTGTTGGTAAGCTAAGTGCAGCTGCAGGGGCGTTGTCTCTCCCATTGTTTGACAGAGCTGAAGTTGTAGATGAACACAATATAGTTTCCTTAGTCACAGAGTCTTTTGTGGAGGATGTTGTATCTGATGCAGCCCCCCAGATTGTAACACTGCCTATAAAAAACCAACAAAAAAATCCCTAATCTACCTCTTCCTTCTACAAAAATGTAGATGAACACAATATAGTTTCCTTAGTCACAGAGTCTTTTGTGGAGGATGTTGTATCTGATGCAGCCCCCCAGACTGTAACACTGCCTATAAAAAACCAACAAAAAAATCCCTAATCTACCTCTTCCTTCTACAAAACAGAGTTCTTCTCAAATATTCTGGTTTGCCAAGTATCCTTATTGGGAGATTCAATAAAAATAATATCAACATCAACTACATTATTACCAGCTCCCATCCATTTATGTGCCAGCTCCGTGCTAATAGATTTCAACCGATGCATGCCAGGGGGAGAGAATATAATTTGTGCCAGTGACTATGTCTCATTCCACTCAATGACTACTCTAGACACACAGAGAATTAGCAAAAGATGGAAACCTGTTAAATCATTTGGTGTTTGGTTTCTTAATGCCTTGTTTCATGTTAGCGTTCAACTGCATTAAATGTGATTCTAGTGTTTAAAGATATGAGTTTTGTGTGTGTGTGCAATGTGACCCCTAATCACAGGCCAGTTGTTTCATTTAGTGTGATAGCAGTAAAGGATTATTTTGGCATCATTTAATTTTTACCTTGTCCAGGTAAGGTGCTGCCCTACTGCACAAGCATTGGTGCATTGAATCCTCAAAACCAACCTGAGGTAAGGACTATTATTTCCATTTATCAGATGAAGAAACTGAGGCTCAGACAGGTGAAGACATCTGTTGAGGTCACACAGCCAGAAAGTGGTGGCACTGTATTCAAAGCCGAGTGCATCAGATCCCAGAGCCCAATGTCTTCCCTACCACACTGTACTGTCTCACAAAAACATAGCTTCATTCTCATGGCTGAGCCAGCCACACTCTCTAGAGAGAAAGGCCCAAATCAGCTATGCTGAGCTAGATGCCTTGGAAATCTTCCTCTTTCCCCTGGGCAATGGGCGGAGATAGGTTCATAACCTGAGTCCCAGTCACTGTACCCTTAACAATTGTCAAAGGGCTAATACACAAAACTGGAGGTGACTCAGTCCAGGTGACAGGCTCATCCTTCCCACCACCTAATTCTGAAGAGGCATTGACCAATTTCCCCAACCTGCCCTCACCTGGCAGCTGCCCCATCCATATCCCACTTTCTTCTAGTGCTGTGCAGACCTAAGGGGTCACAATAGTGCAGGGGAGCTAGCCAGGATGCTTGGAAAGAGTGGGGGACCTAGGCTTTCGACCTGGCTCTATAACTAACTTGCTGTGTGACCTTGGGGAACGCCTCACCTCTTTCTGGGTCTCCATATTCCCCTGAGCACAGTGAGAGACTCCATATCTGAGGAGCCCTCTAATCTCTGGTGATCTGTGGGTCCAATTGCAACAAAAGTCCAGGCTGAAATGAATAGATGTCTTGTTACAGGGGCCTCAGGTTTTTATTTGCAGGGAGCAATGTTTCCACTGGGTCTGACTCTACATTTTTTACATGTGGTTAACCAGTTGTCCCTGCCCTCTTATGGAAAAGTCCATCCTTTCCCCACTGATTTGTCATGCCACCTGTCATTATTTTCCCCAACTGATTTTCATGCTCTCTCTGTCATTCCATTAGATCACTTGTCTGTCCCTGTATCAACACTACATTCTCTGTTACTTTATAGTAAATCTCAATATTTGGTAGGTGAATCTCCCATCTTGCTCTTCAAAATTATCTTGGATATTGTTGGCCTTTCATTCTTCCTGACATATATTAGAATCAGCTCATCAAGTTCTACAAACAACCTGTTGGGATTGTGAGTGGAAGTTTACCGGAATTACAGATTTCATGAGAATTGACGTCTTTGTGGTACTGAGGTTTTCTGCCTCCCCATCAGTTCTTTTGAAAAGCAATAGAGTGTGATCTGGACTCAGAAGTCAGACCTGGGATAGAATTGTAGCTCTGTGATTCTGTGATACAGGACGTGTCCTGCATGGGGACATGGGGGATGTGGAAAACAACACATGTCTCTGAGCCTCAGTTTCCTCACTGTAAAATAGGAATGATAATAGCACTTACTTAGGTCATGAGGATTTTTGTGTGTGTGTGTGTGTGTGTGTGTGTGTGTGTGGTGGTGGTTGGCAGGTATGGGGATCTGAACCCTTGACCTTGGTGTTATAACACTATGCTCTAACCTGCTGAGCTGACCGGCCAGCCCAGTCATGAGGATTAAATGAGATAATGCATGTGAAGCACTTAGCACAGTGCTTACCACATTGTAGGTGCTCAATGAATAGAATCTGCTATTGGTAATGATTATACCCTTCTGCTCCTCTCACCAAATTGACATCTGTTGGGCCAACCCGTGGCTCACTCGGGAGAGTGTGGTGCTGATAACACCAAGGACATGGGTTCGGATCCTATATAGGGATGGCCGGTTAGCTCACTGGCTGAGTGTGGGGCTGACAACACCAAGTCAAGGGTTAAGATCCCCTTACCAGTCATCTTTAAAAAAAAAAAATGGCATCTGTTTCCTGGATGGTTTGTCAAGGATGCTCCTGTCCCTGGCAAAAGTTATGGAAGGCAGTAGGGGTCAGACCTACTGGGACCTCAGTTCTGGGCCAGCTTTGGAGGAAAGTAACCTGCTGAAACTCCAAGCTATTGGCCTGGCCCAAATGAGAAAGGCAGATAAAAAGGGGGAGACAGATGAGATGACAAAATGAAAGGAGTGGACAGACAAAGAGCATCCTGGACTAGATGGATGGGCAAGGTCAGAAGCCCCACAGAGGCTCCTGCCTCCAAAGTCACTGATACCCCAAGCTTTGCAGACAATTTGGGGGGTGGGGGATAGCTATGCTCACATTATTAGATCTTCCTGGAGACACTACCTATTCTTTTGCCAGCTTCTTCCCCCCTCTGGCCAGGCAGAAGAGGGGCTGTGAGAGCCCCCAGAAAAGGATGGATGGAAAGGATGTAAGTGGATACTCACCAGGCAGGTTGAGGGCTCCATCCCCAGTAAGCAGCAGCAACAGCAGCAAAAGCCACTGGCTGCCCATGGCTGTGCTGGTGGATGGTCTGGAGGGTGCTGAAAGGAGTTCTGGCCCAAATAGGGAAACAGACAGTGGATCCAAGACTGTGAAGCACAATGGCTGGCGCTGATACCACCTCTCATCTGCCTGCCCCACCCATTCCCAGCTGTCCAGACTCCCTCCCAGCAAGCCCAGGGGGTTTTCAGGGCTGGAATCAACACCAACGGGAGGGGATGGGGGGTGGAGTTTCCCATCAGCTGCAATCAGTGGGCCTCTGGGGACTCCCATTCCAATTGGTGAATATACCCAAGGCCCCTAATTGTTAGCCTTTGCTGAACAGCGGGGCAGAACTCTGGGCCTTCCAGCCTTCCTTCCACCCAGCACCAGGGAATCTGAGTCTCAGGGACATGGTTGATGCCATTGGTTTCTCACCTCCTGGGCTAAGAGCTGACCATTTGATTTTAGAGCTGGAGCCCAATCTCACCCTCTCCCCATTGCACACATGGGAAAATGAGGCCCAGTGATTCACCTGAGGATTAGAATCCAGGTCTCCTGTCCTCCAGGGCAGCTCTTCCTATTGCCCACGAATGCATAGTTTTCTCAGACTCTCTCCGCTGCCTACCTCAGGAAGCTACTGACATTCTCAATGGCCTTTGAGGAAGGTCCCAAATAGGTTTCACAGGTCCCAAGTTCCCACCAGACTTCATTCACCTGACCTACACAGTCCTCCTGCTTTCTTCCGGCAAGCTTCGGTGCTCTTCTCCTCCGGGAAGCCTGCCAGAACCCACACTTCAACCAGTCAAACTCCACTGCCCTCAGCTGAACTGCTTTTGAACAAGGTGACCCCACAAGACTAGCACTGCTCAGAGTGAGGGCCAGTCTCGACCTTCAGACAGTGAGAAAAAGGGTAGGGCTGCTCCTTTATAAGACAGGGGCTCCCAACCATGAGGACCAGATTCTCCTCCCCCAAACTTAAGATTATATCTCTACTATTAAGTCAGAAGTTTTTAGGGATGCAGATTCTCTCTCCCATTAGACTGGAAGCTCTTGAGCACAGTCTGTGACTCTCTCATCAGACAAACAGGCTTTTGAGGGGCAAGATTTGTCTTCCCCATGAGACCTGGGGCAAGCACCCTAAGAGGCTGGAGATCCACCAGTCAGACACACTGATTCCAACACAAAACTTTATTATCAATACACAGATGCCGGCCCCAGTGGCCTCACCTTTCTCTTCTTGGTGCTTGGGTCCACTCAGGCCCCACTCAGCTCTGGGCTAGAGCAGGGGGCCAGGGATACCCACCCTTCGACCAAACCCTGGCTACCTTGGCCAGCACCCCTCTTCTGTGCTTGTCCTTGCTGCTAGGGCTCCCACTCTCATCCAGCATCCTTCTCCAGCCTGGCTCCTCCGGACCTGGGGCTCACAGGCACAAGCCCTGCAGCTGCTGCCACTCTCACAGCCCCTGGCCTCTGCCCAGGTGTAAGGGAGAGGATGAGCTTGGGCCAGGATGTGCCAAGCCATGCCAGGAATGCAGGAAGATGCAGCACTGGGTGTATGTGCTCCCACGGCTCCCTTCCTGCCTCTCAGCGGCTGCTCTTGTGTTTGTTAAGGAGTATATTTGTGTTAGAATCATGAACCTGCAAACCAAGAGGCCTTCCTGTGAATCCCCCTGCCCCGACATGGCAGACTCTCCTTTACATCCCTCCTCCAGACTCAACAGCTGCCCCATCTGGGCCTCCCAGAGAAGTCCTTCACAGGTCTAACTGGAACCTGCCTGGTACCCGCTCTGAGCTTGGGATCCCAGGCTGTGTACATTCACAAGGTCCTTCTATCCTGGTCAGGTGGTGTGGGAGGCAGAGTAAAACTAAATAACAGGGTGCCTATTTCTCCCCCGCAGCTCCTGAGGGAAGCCTCAGGAGGAGGCTGCTTTTATGCACCCTAGAGAGCATCCAGGGGTCTTTGCCCACAGCGGGCCCCATTATCTTCCACTAAACAGGAACAGAGCTGGCTCAAGCCACACTAAGTGGAGGTAGGTTTGAAGGCTCCAGAGACGAAACTGGCTCGAAGGGCGGAGCCTGACGGCAGGGGGCGTGGCCTGTCCGAGAAGGAAAGCGGGGAACCTCAGCGGAGTTTGCGTGGTGGGGAAGGGGAACAGTTCTTGGAATAGACGGAAACCTTGACAAGTGGGCCAGTGGCTGGGCTGGGAGTGGCACGGTGAGTACCGATCGGGTAGGAGAGGGAAGACGCACCTTTTCCATGTTAACGAGCGCAGTGAGCAAGTCTTGCTGGTTGGTCATCTCGCGGATGTCCATGGAGGACCCGTTCTCTAATGACAGGCTCACCGACACGCGCTTTTGCATCAGCTCCTTCTCCTGCTCCTGGTTGAAGCGGATGGAGCGCACCTCTTCCACGATGCTGGGGGCAGAGTGGTGAGTGCCTTCCACGGGCCGTGGGGGAGGCGCAGCCCTCCCACCTCTTCCCTGGCGCCCACCACCCCAACTTTGCCCTTCCCTGCAGCCCTGACAGAGGCCCAGGCCGAGTTGTGCCCTCGTGTGAGATGGGAGGAACCCGGAGGTCTGGAGTCCAGCCCCTCCGCAGGAGGAGGACCCTGAGCAAGTCATTTAACCCTTCTGGGCCCCAGGGTCTGCATTACAAAATGGTGAGGACGTGAGGCCAGAAGAAGCTGAGGCACCGCCCAGCCCTGACTCACGGGACTTGGGGGTACCCCCAGTACCCCCCCTACGTGTTGAGCTCATCTCGGATCTCCTTGTACTGCATCAAGTTCTCCTGTATTGCCTCGAGCACCAAGCAAAAGTTGTCGCACGTGTTTTCCGAGAGGTTCGACAGTGGACCCCCCACAAGTGGTTCCTGGGGGTGACCAGATTTCTCCAAGCGGACGACTGCACAGTGCACCAGTGACAGCTCGTTACTATCGTCCTTCTCCTCTACGCCTGTCTGGGGAGCAGGGAATGAACGGGGAGGGGACAGACAGCTCAGGCATCCCCTTCCCCAGTCCCTTCCTGCTTGGCTTCAGGTAGGATGAGGCTTAGGACACCAGGGTTCTAATGCCCCTCATTATAGCTCCAACCAGTCTTAGCCTCCCTACCTTGCTTTGGCAGCTCAACCTCAAATGCATAGGCCCTTCCCCACCTCTTTGGAAATTCTCACCCCTTTTTAAAACAGCCCAGCCCAGATTTCACCCTTGATAAATAAATCCTACCCAGCAAACTTCTAAAGCCCTACCCTACCTACCCTGTAGTCACAGCCCCAGCCCTCAGCCCTTTCAGAAGTACCCCCTCCCTTGTCCAACCTTATGGAAGCTCTACCCTTGAATGCATAATACTGTAGCAAACATTAAAGGAGTGCTTACTACGTACCAAGCACTGTTCATTTACCCATATAATCCTCATAATAGCCTTATGGGGTAATAACTATTATTATTCCCATTTTATGGAAGAAGAAATTGAGGCTTAGATTGGTTCAATGTCTTAAGGTCACCCAGCTGTTCAGTGGTGAGTTGCCATAGAAATATAACATCTAGAAAATCCACACCGCTCAGAAGCCCCAATTGGTGAGTGGGCACTCAAGGTGGGGCTGCTGCCTCCAGGCCCTCGAGTGTGCACACACACGCACGTACACGTGTGCTGTCGGCACTCACACACACGCCCCTCTCCTCCCTCTGCCCTCCCCGCCCACACACCTCACTGAAGGTTATTTGATGCTGTTGGCCCTGCTCTTCTGCCTTCATCATTTGCTCCAGATTGGTGGTCACCACCACGACGAACAGGTTGATGCCAATGAAGGCACCAATGGTGATGAAGATGGTGAAGTAGATGGCACCTCCGATCTCCATCGCATACTCCCTCTTCTCCATCCTGGAGATGGCAGGCGGGGGCCCTGTCACCTCCCTGGCCCTTTGAGCCTCAGTTTCCTCACCTATGAAATGGGGAAATCATCCCAAGGCCTACGGGGACTTGTGCCTGCTTTACTGCTGTTGTGCAGCTCTAATTCCCTATCCCTAGTTGTCACCACAGCTGCTCCTTACTGAGCACCTGCTGTGCTCCAGACGGCGGGCCAGTTCTCAAGCCAACTGTGCAAGGTGGGGATTTGTACATCAGCATTATCAAATTTAATCTATTAGCTGTACTCTTTATTTATGTTTTTCTTACTATAAAAATAATTCAAGCTCATTATAGAAAGATCAGAAGAAAAATATACAGGCAAAATATCCCATCTGCTCTGAGTTACACACTGTTAACACCTTGTTACAAGTCTCTCATAAAATATTTTCCCCCAAATAGCTTTCTCTCTCTCTATCTGTGTATAGATAGATAGATAGATACAGCAAAAGTAGATGCACTCTGTGCCAGGCTCTGTGCTCAGAGGTTTATATTGATTTTCACAGCAATTCATAACATAGTTAATATTGTATTATAATCCCCAGATTTACAGATGGAGAAACAGGCTCAGAAGAGAGATGAAGTAACTTGCCCATGGTCACACGACTAGTGTGCGGGAGCAAAGACAAAAGCCCAGTGTAACTATATTGTGCAGTCTGTGATTTTTTTCCCGCTACCTATATCATAATGGATAAAGGCTACGGAGGCCCTGCTGGGCTTCTACTTTTACACAAAGGGGAAAAAAAAAAGGAACCAATCAGGGGGGTAGGAGGGTCCACTACCTCAAGTGGACTGGAAAGAAATAGGGCTTAGATTTAATGGAAAAAAGGTAAAGAACAGAACACAAAAATGACCTTGGGCAGTGGGTCTAAGAATGAATAAAGTGAGAACCAGAGTTCCCAGGGGTTGGGGCACTTTGGTGGGCTCCAGTGTGGGCTGGGAGGCTGCTCTGTAACCTTAGGCACAACCACAGACCTGTTCCCCTGCCCAAGGCCTAGCTACCCAGCTATTTAGCATGGTAGGAGAAGTCTCCATGAACAGGGCTAGGGTAGGACTTTGAATGTGTGGAGTTTCAAGGGGAACAAGGCTTCAAGTACCAAGGTCTCCACCAGGGATTTTTTTCTTCCCCAGTGTAAAGCCTTGGGCACCCTCCATTAAACCCCAAGGTCTCCACCAGGGATTTTTTTCTTCCCCAGTGTAAAGCCTTGGGCACCCTCCATCCCACTGGGCCACCCTCATCCTAACCCCTGGAGCCCCCACTCGCATTGAGAGCCCTTTTCCCCCCAGTTTCCCTGCCTCACAGGAGCCCTAGCCCCTTCCTTGCCAGGCTGGGATAAAGGCCTGGAAGCTCCACCAGCACTCACTGGAAGTCACTGTAGATGTCCACCCAGCCATCCTGGGTGATGCAGATGAAGAGGGTGTACAGGGCAACCTGTATGTTCTGGAAATGCGTGGGCACGAATGCACCAAAGAGTGTGACTCCAAACACAGAGAACACCTGCCAGAGAAACCAAAGCCCATCCTGACTTTACCCGAGGGTCTTGGAGACAGGACATGCAAATACCCTGCAGATGCC